CACCATGTTGACCAGGATGGTCAACATGGTGAAACCCCACCTCTACTAAAACTACAAAAAATTAGCTGGGCATGGTGGTGCATGCCTGTAATCTCAGCTACTCAGGAGGCTGAGACAGGAGAATTGCCTGAACCCAGGAGGCGGAGGTTGCGGTGAGCCGAGATCGCGCCATTGCACTCCAGCCTGGGTAACAAGAGCGAAACTCCGTCTCAAAAAAAAAAAAAAACATATACCATTTTAACGATTTTTAAGTGCATAGTTCAGTGGCATTAAGTATATTCACAATGTTGTGCAACCACCACCATTTTCACATTTCATCATTCCAAGAAGAAATTGCATACCCATTAAAGAATAACTCCCTGTTTCCTTTTTCCCCCAGCCTCTGATAATCAACAGTCTACTTTTCTGTCTGTAAGAATTTGCCTATTCTAGGAACCTCATATAAGTGGAATCATACATTTATCCTGTTGCACAGCTTACTTCACTTAGCATAATGTTTCTCAAGACTTATCTTGAAATGTTATGCATGTGTCAGAATGTCATTTCTTTCTTTTTTTTTTTTTGAAACAGGGTCTCACTCCGTTCCCCAGGCTGGAGTGCAGTGGTGTAATCTCAGTTCACTACAACCTCTGCCTCCCAGGTCCAAACAATCCTCCCTCCTTAGTCTCTTGAGTAGCGGGAAGCACAGGTGGCACACCACAACATCAGGCTAATTTTTTATAGAGATGGAATTTCACCATGTTGCCCAGGCTGGACTCAAACTCTAGGGCTCAAGCTATCTACCCACCTCAGCCACCCAAAGTGCTGGGATTACAGGTGTGAGCCACTGTGCACAGCCTGTCATTTCTTTTTAAAGTAGAATGATATCCACCAATAAAACCAATGTTGGTTCATACCACATTTTATTTATCCATTCATCCATCAGTGGACACTTAGTTGTGTTCAGCTTTTGGCAATTGTGAATAATGCTTCTCTACGCATTGGTATAAAAGTATATGTTTGGGCTGCACACATTGGCTCATGCCTGTGATCCCAGCACTTTGGGAGGCCAACGCAGGAGGATTGCTTGAGCCCAGGAATTTGAGACCAGTCTGGGCAATATAAGGAGACCCCATGTCTACTTATAATTAAAAAAATCAGCTGGGCATGGTGCCACATCCCTGTGGTCCCAGCTACTTGGGAAGCTAAAGCAGGAGGATCACCTGAACCCAAGGGAGTTAAAGGTACAGTGAGCTTCGATCGTGCCACTGCACTCCAGCCTAGGCAACAGAGTGAGACACTGTCAAAAAAAAAAAGTGTGTGTGTGTGTGTGTGTGTATATATATATATATATGTTTCAGTTCCTGCTTTTAATACTTTTTTATTTTTTAAAAATTATTTTTTGTTTTTTATTTTCATGGGTACGTGGTAGATGTATCCTACTTTTAATTCTTTTGGACATATAGTTTGAAGTGGAATTGCTGGATCATCTGTTTAACTTTTTGAAGAACCACCGTACCATCTCTTCCGCAGTGGCTGTACCATTTCATGTTCCCACCAACAATGCACGAGGGTTCCAGTTTCTCTACATCCTGGACACTTCTTTCTGGTTTTTTGGTTGATACTTATCCTAATGGATATGAATTGATATCTCACTATAGTTTCAACTTACTTTAAAAAAAATCATATAACTGTTTTGCCTTATAAATGGATTTGTCCCTAAATTCAAATAATAGGATATTTTAAATAATTGGCTTTTGTAGGGAAATTATCCATTATAAGCATGTAAACAACTTCTTATCATTCTCTGCCATAATTGCTGCATTCTGATATTTACCATAACATAGAACAATCTTTTCAATGTTCCTCACAGGGCATTTGCTCTGCCTGCCCTTCTTTCAAAGCCATGCTCATCACCTGGGTTCATGGTCACTGAAAACAGTCTATAAGATATAGTTTGAGATGCACTATTTTAAATATACAGATTTAGTGTGGTATATTTAGTATAGACTATTTTTTACTTCTTTTAGCTTTTGAAAAACTTCCCTGCATGTAAAAACATAAGTGGGTAGGGGTATTGAAAGATGTCTAGAATCATATGCTGCAAACTGGCTTCCCCAAGAAAGAGTAGCTTGTACTCTTTACAGTTTTTTGGAACTTTTTCACTGAGCCTAAATGACTTATGTTATTGCTTTAAATTAATAATAAAAGTAAAAAGTTATCTTGGGACTTCATGATCTTTTTGAAATTTATTGGCATTTGTGGTGATTGTTCTCTATTAATATTCCATTAATCTACTTAGCTATATTTGAGGAGAAAGAAAAGTAATGGTAGAATTTTCTCCCACCCCAGCCAGGCGCAGTGGCTCACACCTGTAATCCCAGCCCTTTGGGAGGCCGAGGCGGGCCAATCACTTTAGGTCAGGAGTTCGAGACCAACCTAGCCAACATGGTGAAACCCCTTCTCTAGTAAAAATACAAAAATTAGCTGATGTGGTAGGGGGCGCCTTAATCCCAGCTATTTGGAAGGCTAAGGCAGAAGAATTGCTTGAACCCAGGAGGTGGAGGTTGCAGTGAGCCAAGATTGTACCCCTGCACTCCAGCCTGGGCAACAGAGGGAGACTCCGTCTCAAAAAAAGAAAAAAAAAAAAAGAATTTCCCCCACTAAAAGAATGCAGGAGATGCTTTGCAGCAAAATCTGTAGCTAATGTCTTGGGTTGGAGTTAGAAGTCACCAGGGATCAGCAGAAGGTAGCTCAGGCTGCTAGGGGTGCAGCACTGTCTCCTCATAAGAAAGGAATGCTTAGGGTAGCATTTCCATAATGTGAAAAGAACATATTAAAACAGTTGATTATAGCTTTGTGTATGTGTGTGTTTTACCTCTCCTATGGTGCTGAAGCTTTGTGTTTTTTTAAAGGTGTTTGATCAGAGTGCCCTTTCAACTGAAGCTAAAGAAGAAATGTACAAGCTGTATCCTAATGCCCGAAGAGCTCACCTTAAAACAGGAGGCAATTTCCCATACCTGTGCAGAAGTGCGGAGGTGAATCTTTATGTACAGGTAAGGCCTAGCTTGAAACCCAGAGCACTCTGAGCCCAATATATGTTTGTAACATGAAGCCTTTTTTTTTAATGGAGTAGTAAGGGGATAGAGAACTATAGAATTCCTTGTAGGAATGAAGCATTGACTTGATAAAAGTGGTTTACATTTATAATTTGTAGGTCAGTTTGAACAGGTATATTAGAGATCCCCCACTGACTCCCTGCCCACCATCCCTTTTCCAAGAACAGGAGGACTGCATTCACATACTGAGATAGCCATTGGCATGATGGGACCTTGCCCCCTGGACACACTGAATTCCGTCAGAGCAAGATACCAGACCTAAATGGGATCAATCTGAGTCCTGTGAAGTGACTTCTTGATCTCATTTTAATGCATTAAAAGAAAACTCTAACAAACACCACCCCTTCATACTCTAAGTGGATAATGTGATAGCAGTGAGGGGTGAGTGCCCTGGCAATTTGGCAAGAAGAATCAAGAGCCTTAAAAAACCATTCATGTTCCATGATCCTGTCATCCACTTGTAGAAGACAGGATCCTAAACAGGAAAACTTGGTGCTGGAGATATTCATCATAGCAGCACTAGTCACAGTAGCAGAAGATTGGAAGGACCTAACTCACAGCAGCAGAAGGGAAGGGTAAACATCTCATGGAGCATGCACCATCTAAGATGTATCAGGAGACTCTGCAGGACTCAGGGAGACTGCACAGGAAGTGAGGAACAAAGATCCCAAATGTGGCTTTAAAAAATTGTTTGACTTGGCCGGGCACGGTGGCTCAAGCCTGTAATCCCAGCACTTTGGGAGGCCAAGGTGGGTGGATCACGAGGTCAAGAGATCGAGACCATCCTGGTCAATACGGTGAAACCCCGTCTCTACTAAAAATACAAAAAAATTAGCTGGGCATGGTGGCACGTGCCTGTAATCCCAGCTACTCAGGAGGCTGGGGCAGGAGAATTGCCTGAACCCAGGAGGCGGAGGTTGCGGTGAGCCAAGGTCGCGCCATTGCACTCCAGCCTGGGTAACGAGCGAAACTAAGTCCCAATTAAAAAAAAAAAAAAAAAAAAAAATTGTTTGACTTTTCTCTAGTATGTATTAGTCTGTAAATTTTAGAAGTAGAAAACATTTATCTACTATGGTGATTTTTCCTACCAAACTTTTTGTAGAAGGCAGTACACATTTTGCTCTGTAATGCAGCCATTTAAAATAATGATTCTGTGGGCCAGGCGCGGTGGCTCAAGCCTGTAATCCCAGCACTTTGGGAGGCCGAGGCGGGTGGATCACGAGGTCAAGAGATCGAGACCATCCTGGTCAACATGGTGAAACCCCGTCTCTACTAAAAATACAAAAAATTAGCTGGGCATGGTGGCGCGTGCCTGTAATCCCAGCTACTCAGGAGGCTGAGGCAGGAGAATTGCCTGAACCCAGGAGGCGGAGGTTGCGGTGAGCCGAGATCGCGCCATTGCACTCCAGCCTGGGTAACAAGAGCGAAACTCCGTCTCAAAAAAAATAAATAAATAAATAAATAAATAAAATAATGATTCTGGCTGGGCGTGATGGTTCAGGCCTATAATCCCAGCACTTTGGGAGGTCAAGGTGGACGGATCACCTGAGGTCAAGAGTTCGAGACCAGCCTGGCCAATATGGTGACACCCCATCTTCTAAAAATAGAAATATTAGCTGAGCATGGTGGCGGGCATCTGTAATCCCAGCTCAAGAGGCTGAGGCAGGAGAATTGCGTGAACCTGGGAAGCAGAAGTTGCAGTGAGCTGAGATTGCACTGTTGCGCTCCAGCCTGGGTGACAAGAGTGACACTCCGGCTCAAAAAATAAATAAATAGGCCAGGTGTGATGGCTCACACCTGTAATCCCAAGACTTTGGGAGGCTGAGGCAGGCAGATCACGAGATCAAGAGATCAAGACCATCCTAGCCAACATGGTAAAACCTTGTCTCTACTAAAAATACAAAAATTAGCTGGGTGTAGTGGCACGTGCCTATAGTCCCAGCTACTCAGGAGGCTGAGGCAGGAGAATCGCTTGAACCCAGGAGGCAGAGGTTGCAGTGAGCTGAGATCGTGCCACTGCACTCCAGCCTGATGACAGAGCAAGACTCTGTCTCAGAAAATAAATAAATTAAATAAAATAAATAAACAAGTAAAATAAAATAATGATTCTGCGTTTCAACAGATACATTTGCTGCAATTCCATGGAACCAAATACGCGGCCATTGACCCATCAATGGTCAGTGCCGAGGAGCTTGAGGTGCAGAAAGGCAGCCTCGGCATCAGCCAGGAGGAACAATAGTTGTGTCTCTTGCTGTCAATGATGAGTTGACCCGGTGTGTTCTCATACAGTCCGTGGCATCAGCGTCCACCAGCTGGCCTTTTCCTTCAGGTTCGTCAGGCTCACCGGTTCTCACTGTGTCTGGGAAGTAGGACTGATGGTCATCTTCATGACAGGTGGCAGCTCCACTAAGCCCCTGTAACTGTTCCCTCTTCGGTTTTCTTAGCTTTTGAATTTGAAGAAGTACTTTTGAAGACTCCCATTTTAAGAACTGTGCAAATTTTGCTACCAAAAGTCTTCATCACTGTGTTCTTAAGTGAATGTTGACTTCTGCGGTTTGGGACTTTGTGGGACTTTTTTTTCTTCTTTTCCT